TCCCAGATGTAAAGGATGGCTTTTAAATGCCATACACTATTGGTGTTTTTGACAGTATGATCACCATATTTCCATTTCCCTCTGCAACAAAGCAACTAAACTCTTGCTTTTACTGTCGCAAAAGTAAATAGAGGAAAATACAGATGTTTGAAATTGCGCAAGGATTTTTCAAACAATTTTATAAAAGATCTTTCCTGATAAAATTGACAGAAAAATGCAAGCTGAATTTCTTTCTTACAATTATTTCAAGAAGTTGGTGTTATCCCTGAATTACATTTTCTGTAACTAGTAATTCATGTTTTACTGTAAAATCTGAGTTTGAAATGTGTGCACCCAACAATTGTTGTTGAAGCATGTTTGGCAATAAATTTGGATGGTTAGTGCCTCATTTTTCCTCTAGTACTAATCATTGGTAGAAATGTGAGGCCAGTTATATGAGTATATTACAGGGAAACTCAATTCAAACAAGGAACAACAAAGCTGGCTTGTTTAGAATCGGAAGTGAAGCTTTGATTTATTGATTTTAGCTGAGCCTCCTTGATTGTGCAATGTTCACCCTTCTGACACAGAAGAGACAGCCAGATTTCATTGAATATCCCCTCTTGAAGCATTCTCCTTCCCACTATCTCCTCCCTTTGTGTGTGTGTGCCTGCGTATGTGCATTCATATGTATGTGTTGCACTCCTCTCTCTCTCTCTCTCTCTCTCTCTCCCTCTCCCTCATTCCAGCTGCTAATGCAAAATAATGTTTCATCCAGCAATCCAGGGTCTAATTATAATATTGTCGTGATCAGCGTGGATTCCTTGCTCCGTCTGACAGACTGTTAAAATTGCTTACCGAAGAGAAGGAGGAGGAGACAAGAACTAAGGTGGGCCAAGGAAGCCATGGCTGCTGCCTAAAAAGCCACTCCTACAGACAGAAGGTGAGAGATGCAACGGCTGGGCTGTGGGGGGATTTTCCTGGAGGGGAGAACTGGTAGCTTGCAATATCTGTCTTCCATTCTGAAGACAAATGGGTTCTCCATTGCTGCTTCTCCATTGCCTATTCATAGTACCATTGTCGCAATTTTGACAATTGCAGTTCTCTGTGTGTGCATTGTGTTTGTGCATGTTTTAAAGGATTGTGTTGCTAAGCTACACAGTCCTTTAAAACATTCACCACGCACACATGCCTACACATGAACACACACTTGCTGTCCTGATTGCTATTTGCAGCAAAATGGTCACTGGTGCCGTTAGCGAAACCACGGAGGCAGAGGGTGCCACTTTGCTTCAGCTTGGCTCAGGGAGCTGATGAGTTGCCATGGATGTGGGTCACTTGTCAAAGGGGGCAGGGAGCCCATGGATCTTGCAGCTGGATTCTTCCAACACTGGTTATAGTGCTAGAGAAATTGGACTAGCCCCATGAGCAGCATGGCTCTCTCTTGTAGGGCTCCAATCTGTGCTGGAGGAGGAAGGGGGAGAAGGCAGTCAGCCCCCCCAATCCTCCTCCATACTGAGGGAAGAGAGTTTTGAATCCTTGTGCATTTATGAGGACTGAGATTTGGGATAAGCTGGGTTTCTAATAGAGAAATGTGTTTTGTACTCTCATTTATGTACAGTGATCATTATTCTCTGCTACAGGTTCTCATACAAATTGTGCACTATTTATACAAGAATCCTGATTCTCTGCTCAGAATAAATTGCATAAAGCAATACAAGATACAGTATTAACATGTACTAATGTTGTTTGAAGTTGAGTTTGCTTGCTTCTTTCTAAGTAGGGCATTCAAATTTTCCAGTTCTTTGGCCAGAGAGAGATGTGTTGCAAGGAGAAGTAAGAAAGCAGCAGAGATTAGGAGAAACAGTAGGGAAGGTGACTAATTTTTTTATCATCTCTGAGGTCCAGAAATGTAAGAACCTATCTTTTTCTCTTATTATATATGAAGATAAAGCAATATTATTTTATATTGCGCTGACATTTGTACAAAAAAAGCATAACTAAGTAATGTCTCTACAAATTGACTGTAAAATTCTTAGTATTACTATTACTATTATTATGATGAAACTTGCATTAAAAAAATACTCTTGCTGTTCGGAAAAACAGTTGGAGCTTCTGGCTTCCCAGAGATGCTTGTGTCTTTAACAAGACCACAATCTCATGTGAATATGCAACACAATCCTTTACAGGTTTGGCTAGACTACTGAGTCTGGTGGATTTATTCCAGTCCCACTAAATTGGTCTGAAGAGTGGGAAGCCAGTGACTGCAGTGTCTACCGATGGGACAACACCCAGCCTTATATTTATGGCAGATTTGGCCAATCGACGTGCATTTTTCTGAACTCCCTTTTGCAACTAGAACTTAAAGGTATTCAAAACTCCTGTAGCACAAGTTTTTCTTATAAAAGTTCCTCTTACCTTCTCATAGGAGTTCAAATCTCAGCCATGATAAAAGTTTGCTCAGCTCTTTCTACAGACTGCAAAATGTCTGTCCCCAGCTTTGAACTATAAGATACTTATCAAATTCTTGAGCTGAATCCTGCTTTGATTCCATTAATTCACAAAAATTGCCTTACTCCAGGATACACATCCGCACGCTCTTCTCATAGCCAAAATAAAATTCAGCACCCTCAGAGAGAGAAGTTTAAAACACCTATTTTAATTTGTCTCCTTCCCTGACTCCTCAGAATCAGAGGTTGGCTTGCCGGCTAGCTGGATCCTGGAACCAATTGCTCTTTATGGTTTGGTTTTGTACATTAGATATTAAAATGCATATTCATTCCGAAGAAACCACTGCATTGATCCATGTTCACAGTAACATATGCACTAGGTTTCTGCAATATAATTTTAGGAGGAGTGGAAATTTGAAGTCAGGAAGGTAACTTTGAAAAAAAAAACATTCTATGTATTGCTTTTTCAAAAAATACTTTAAAATGTTTATTTTCCCTGATTGTACAGGTAGTCTTCAACTTACAACATGACTGTTGTTTAATGACTGTTCGAAGTTACAAGACCACTGAAAAAAGTGGCTTATGACCATTTTTTACTTACAACCATTGCAGCATCCCTATAGTCATGTGATTGAAATTCAGATGCTTGACAACTGACTCATATTTATGAAAGGTTCCAGTGTCCTGGGATCATATGATCATCTTTTGTAATCTTCTGACAAGCAAGAATAGAGTAGAATGAATAGCAGAGTTGGAAGGGACCTTTGAGGTCTTCTAGTCTAACCCCCTGTTTAGGCAGGAAACCTATACCATTTCAGACAAATGGTTGTCCAATCCCTTCTTTAAAACTTCCATTGTTGTAACATTCACAACTTCTGGAGGCAAGTTGTTCCGCTGATTAATTATTCTGACTGTCAGGAAATTTATTCTTAGTTCTAGGTTGCGTGTGGGGCTTGCTCCCTGCTTATCTGCAGTAGCTTTCCCTGCTCACTCACACTGATGATGTTACATGGTTGGGTTAAGAAATGTCTGCAAGCAAATAACCAACGTCAGAGAGCACTTGTCAAGCATCCAGACTGTATCCATGATATCATTCACTCCGAGACGTTATCTCTCCAATTGATTTATTAGGAACAGATCTGGCATGTTCCAAAGCAATTTCCCAAGTGAAAGCTTTTTTCTGCGTTACACAGAACCCACCTTCTCTCCTCCCTTCTTTCCTCCCACTTCTACACTTCATAAATCACGAGAACCAATTAACTGCAACTGCAAATTCTTAATACGACACACAGAATAACGTTGAACTTTTCAACTCCTCTAACTCTCTAAAAAAATATGTGGCAGCTGAATTTCAAAGCTGACAGCACTAAGGATTCCACTGTTTCTACTCTGAGCTACATATTCAGGTAGTCTTTGACTTATAACAGTTCATTTAGTGACTACTCGAAATTACAACAGCACTGGGAAAAAAGTGACCCATGGCCATTTTTCACATCTACAATTGCAGCACGCCCATGTCACATGATCAGAATTCAGATGCTTGGCAACCGACTCATATTTATGACGGTTGCAGAGTCCTGAGGTAATGTGATTGCCCTTTGTGACCTTCTGACAAGCAAAGTCAATGGGGAAACCAGATTCACTGAACAGCTGTGTTACTAACTTAACCCCTGCACGGATTAACTTAACAAATGTGGCAGGAAAGATTGTAAAATGGGGCAAAACTGACTTAACAAATGCTTCACTTAGCAACAGAAATTTGAGGGTCAATTGTGGTCAGAAGTCAAAAACAAGCTGTATTGTATATCACCATAATCTTTTTCTAAAAAAACTAAGGGGCATTATTATTTTGTTTTCTTGTAGATGCCATATCCTCCTTGAGTTGTTAGAACGACTTTAAACTTTACACAGACTGCTTGACAAGGTAGGGTGACTTTGCTAAAGCTGAGCATCTGGACTCCAAAAGAGAAGATGCTTTGGTCAGGTAGTTTTCATATAGAATATCAAAGTTGTTGCTTGGCCTTAAAGCAACTATCCTCAAAGTGTGGGTTAGGATTTCTGGGGAAAGGAGAAGAATGTCACAAGCAATTTGGAGTCACCGTTTTTTAAAAAAACTGAACAGGCATTTGGAGGCACAATGTCAGCTTTGTTAAAATGTTCTGTAGTCTTTGGCTACTAATTTTCCTGTCAAAGGCCGAGGTGGGCAAAGCAGTACAGTAACCACAAACTCCTTTGATATTTAGATTAAAACGTAATCATTAAAAATAAGCAATGGTATTTATTCCCTGCCCCAGCTTAATCCAAGGGAAGTAATTCTTGAGAGAGCACACGTGTTTTAGGGGGTTCAGGACACAATCCAGTTTGAAAACACCTGCCTTAAAATACGATGTTATGAGTGTTTGGAAATATTGGGGGGAAATCCTGTAGGGAAGAATTATGCTTGTCTAAAATAGAACACAGCCTTGTCTGGGGTTTTTCTTCTGGAATGTACATAGCAGAGGGGTTTGGGAGGATTCTCCCCCACCTTATAAATCATCTTCTTCCTTGCAGAAGTATCCAGGCCTAATTGCTATGGCTGGTGGAAAGCAGGAGCTTAAGAGAAGTATAACCATTATACCTTGTTTTGTGTTTGTGGAGGTAAGAAAACCAGAGAATTTGATCAACAAGTTCCCGGTCTTCTCTCTTTCTCTCTCTCTTCTCTCTTCTCTCTCTCTCTTTCATGCACAGACACAGACACACATGCACACACAGACGCACACACATGCACACACACACACACACACACACACACACAGAGCCATTCTCACTTTACTAGGAAGGAGTTGTCCACACTCAAATGCTGCAGCCAGTTCAGTTTAGGGTTACAAGAGGAGTAGTGGAATACAGAGTTTGCATTTTGCTAGTGTTCCTGGAAGCTGCTCAGTAGTACGTGAAGCAAAGTTGTCCTGCTATATTACAAGAAAAGCTGCTTGGGTAGCATTGCTTGGATGGATCTTTGTATATGGGCCAGCCCTGCTCTTCTTGGTAGATGACTAGTCTTCATTACTCCATATTCCATATATGGAGGTCATTGTGGGCAGGAAGGCCAGTACGAACAGATTAGGGTTAGGGCTTGCATATCTCATAGCTTTACTAGTGTGTCCTTTCTTTTAGTGGCCTAGAACGCTTCAGCTCTGTAATATGTAAGGGTATTCAAGAATTTAGTTAGTCTACTGTTCTAGAGTTATATCTACTTACAAACAAGGGTGCAAATCTGAATACCTTCCCCTGAAATAGAACTGTTTCCCGAATTTTCTGTGTAACTTTTCAGCAAACCTAGAAAGGTCCTCAAATGTTTGTTGATGGCTGGCCATTTGGAAAATGCATCTACTTATTTTTAGAAATTTTCATGACATATTTTTGAAAATGAGGAAATGAGGCATGGCAATTGTTTATAGATGCAAAATAGATTTATTTACATCCCATGAAAAGCATTCAGATGCTTCCTGTAATGTGGACGGACAAAAGAAAACAGACATATATCTGGAACCTCTCCTCTGTCAAATGGAAGCCTGCATTCAGCTTGCTTCCTTTGGGCTCAGTCCCTGGGAGTTGGCCTGGGATCATTTATGAGCTATGAATTGTAAAAAGGGGAATGTCTGGGAAAGGTGGAAAGAAATCAGGAGGGGAGGGACATAAGAGAGGAGCACAATAGCCTTATTTTGGCCCAGGAAGCCGGGTTCCTCTCTTATTCCTCAACCGTCTTTCTGAATAAGAAAAGATGCATAGAAATTTGCATGCAGTAACGGGCAGGTGGCAACCACCTGTGTTTCCAAAGATCTGAAAGATCTCTTTGCCTCCCATTCTGTTAGTAGTGCCTGATGTGCCATCTTGTTCTTTTTCCAGCTGGGAATCATGGCTGGCACAGTGGTGCTGGCTTACCACTTTGAGTATTCAGACACTTTTCCGGTGCACTTTCAAGGATTCTTCTGCTATGACAATACTTTGGCCAAACCCTATCCTGGGCCAGAGGACAGTAGCCGAGCACCTCCAGTCCTGGTCTACTCTCTTGTTACTGCTGTTCCCACCATCACGGTAAGAGATCCACAAGGGATACGGGAGGAGAAAGAACCCCTCAAGAGGAAGGGCTGGTAAATGTATCTTGGGATACTTTGGCAATGACGACATAGGCACGGCCTTCACTGTGACGGTATTAATTTCCTTGAGATTAAGACCACAAAGAGACTGACTGCTGGAGAGGAGAAGTATGAGGGCATCCAGTCATATTTAAAGCTCTGTTGGGAAATGGAGTGAAGATATATTTGAGGGCTTACAAGACACGCCCATTAGAATCATATGGATGATTATATTCACATGATATTATATTCACATACTCTTGTCTGCTCAGATGCTTTCATTGGTGTTGCCTCTCATATTCAGAATGACCTATGTACCAACCCAAATTTGTTTCTGTATTGTTTTCATTGTTACACTTTTATCTGGCTTTTCCTCCAAATTGCTCAGGAGAAAACACATAATTATCTCCCCATTTATTCTCATAAAACAAGATGTATTAAGAACAGTGTTAATTCAGATAATTCGACATACACCTGAACATGAGTCCCTCATATCCAATATCTTCACCAGTATGATATGCAACATAACTGCTTTTTATTCCCCACCATCCTTTTTCTGTGTGGGAAAAAATGACCAGAAACTCCAATAAGGATATCGGAGCCCACGTTCACAAGAGACCTATTTCACTTCAGCTGTTATTATCTGGTCAAGCTTGCCCCAACTAGGTCCCTAGGAAAGAAAGACCTTCGACTCCATTTGATTGAAGGGATAGGTTCTTTTACTAAGGATTAGTGGTTGCAGTGAAAACAGGCTAGAACTGAGGTTCAGGTTCCCTCACAAAGCATTACAAAGTTTCCCCTTCTCCCCAGCCCTTCCTACATGACTGGCCCATCATCGTCCAATGGTGTTCTATGCAGGTGTTTTGGGAACTGCTTGGATGTTTGGTGCCACTTGGTGCAATTCACATTCCTCCCCCAGGCTCTGCAGCCTTGAAGATCGGAACAGGCTGGTTCTCACACCTCTGGCTTCTCTCAAACCTGTCACCACCACTCCCTTTGGATCTTCTCTACCCTCTTCTATATGCCAATTGCCTGTTTTCTCTTCCCCCTCCCCCGCCAACAATTTATGGCAGAACGCCAGCAAAGCACTAAGCTGAAGATGGCAGAGGAGCACTCTCCCCCTTTTTAACGAGGTCCTCAATGCATCGCTTTTCTTCCCTAGATGACTTGCTCCAGTGAATGGACTTTTCTCTATTGCATCTCCTTTCTCTGTCCCTTGCATGAGCCCTGCTTGCTCTGACAGCCATTTCTACACAGTGGGCATTGCTATGTTGCTTTTATTTCATTAACACTTGGGAATACCTTAGTGACCAAAGAGAAAATGGAAATAAAACTATGATTTCCTTTGAACTAAATTCCCACTGATGTAGTCCTATTGTGCTCTGAACTGCTACAGGTACTATCTAGAGAAGAATTACATTTTCTCCAAGAGTCATGTAAAAAAATATGTATTTCTATTCTGATCTGTGAGAATGCTTTTCTATCTGTTTTGCCAGCACTTCCTGAATCTAGGTTATAGAACTCATCTGTAACCTAGAACTCATCTAGGTTACAGATGTGGGGGGGAAGTGTCTATCCTCATGGAAATGCACACTCTGTTTATCCCTCAGCTTGGGCTGGCCTGTCTCGGACCTTGGAAGCTAGAAAATAATGTCACTTCCTCTCAACCACCTGCCCCCCATGCTAAGTCTTAGCAGTACTTCACTTATGAGAGGAAACATAAGGAATCTTGAAGGAATCCTCCAGCCCTTTTGCCCTTGCCCAGCCTTTTCCTCCAGGAGCTTACTTTAAACAACTGCTATTAAAGAGAAAGTACAATTCCTCTTTCTGCTTCTTTCTCTTTCTCACCCCAGATACTTGTTGGAGAACTGGCTGCCTTCTTCTTCCAACCCACAAGGCATAAAGAGAAAACCATCATCTCGGGCGAGTGCTGTTATTTCAATCCTCTTCTGCGCCGCATGATCCGCTTCCTGGGTAAGAGGAGAATGCCCTCCCACCTAGGCCCAGCTGAGTCCCCAGGCTCTGCCCCACTCCTCATTCCTGTCCTTTTCCTTTCATAGGTGTTTATTCCTTCGGCCTCTTCACTACCACCATCTTTGCCAATGCAGGCCAAGTGGTGACCGGCAACCAGACTCCACATTTCCTGTCAGTGTGCCAACCAAACTACACTGTGCTGGGCTGCCAACCACCCCCAGGCACCATTTACGTCACAGACAAGGCAGCCTGCACTGGAAATCCTCTCCTGGTCACTGCAGCCTGCAAGGCGTTCCCCTCCAAGGACGCTGCCCTCAGCGCCTATGCGGTGGCGTACACTGTGGTATGAAGTGGAAGCTAGGTGACAGGACAGCCAGACAGGTGGAGGGAGGGAGGGAGGAGGGGCCGGTTTGAGGCTGTTCCAGTAATTTAGCACCCAGTTCCCTTTCCATGCCCTGCCTCAACCCCCATCTGTATCAGATCAGGTGGGTGGAGACCAGGTTTGACAGGCACAGAAGCGGTCAAGGTTTGGGAATGAACTGTTTCATTGAGAAGTCTGAAGTGCCCTCTGGTGGGCATAGAACAAAAGTGTGAAAGATCTTTTCTCCCAGGACAGGACTGGGGGAACGATCTTTTGTGACAATACGCTGCCTGCTGTGAGCAAAAATTATCCTTGGCAAGGGCACCTCAGGAAAAAGGATTAGCTTTGATTTCACTGTGTCCATTTCTCATTAGAAGGCAGTAAAACCAAATAGGTCCCTTGATGTTATACTGAGGGAAACCTAGCCTCTCTTTCTCAGCCAGTTGAGTTCTTGTCTTCTGGCCCCTTTTTTCCCTCTAATACTGTCTGGGTACTGCAAGTGTCACATGCCATTAGCAACACAAGAATTTTTAGAATCTGAAACACTGGACTAATAAATGCATTGTCTACAACAACCAAGAATGCTTGGTGTATGCCACTGAAAGTTATTTGAAAAAATAGACTTTTTAACTAGTAAGGAAAAGGAAGAAGCAAGGAGGTAGCTGACTTTCCCATTTGCTCTTGTCTTGGCTGATGCTGTCATAAGGGAAACAAGTGGTCTGTGAAGCCTGTGAGCTGGTTTCTTCCAAAACTATAGCATCCCTTAGTTTTTGCTGTTTGATGCAATGGAAGAGAAAGACACATGGAAAAATGCTGACTGGGAGAACCAACTTAGACAGTGACCAGAACCTGCCATTAGGCGGATGAAACATTGTTCAGATTGCTGCGGATTGAGAGGAGGTTGTAGTCCAACTGTTTTCTCAGTGAGTGAAGAATATCTGGTTTTTGTTTTAAGGCATCAAAATGTATTGAGCCAGCAGGGGATAGTAGCCAGATATCTAAGGCAATTGGTAAAATATAGCACAATAAAACCTGGAAGATCTAAAAATGTATTAAATCAATCTTCAGAGTAGTCTGGCCAAGTCATCCACTCCACAGAGTAGCCTATAAATGTCCAATTATATATTGCCATGGGCGATAGCTATGCACCACATGGCAGGAAGGTTCTTGCTTATTTCTTCATTTTACTAGCATGGTTTATTTAACTTTTAAGCATATTATTAGCTTAATTTTCAGTTGGATATGAGAAACAACAAATACATAAAAGTACATTAAAACCATAAAACTAGTTTAAACTATCAGAATGATTAAAGTACTGTGAAAGTAGTAGAGATGCTAGAGAACAGGCACACACACTTATACAATGCAGTGCGACTTGGAAAAAGTGGTTTCTTTCCCTCCATAGTCTGAATATGAACAAAACTACGAGAGCTTCTTTTTCCATTATACTAATAGTGGTTTCCAGAACAATAGCAAGTGCAGTTTGACCGTCCCTGAGAAAACAGATAAGTCTTCTTCCCTTTACATTGACAAAGTTCAAGAAAACTAATTGGAATCCTACTGCTTTAGATTGCTTCCATATGGGTATCTCATTTGAAAGTAAAGCCCTCACCAGAATCCTTGTGTTGCATCTTTAATCCTGGTGGCTGCAACAGATATCATTTAAAAACTAGCCTACTCCAAGTGGAACTTTTATGGGGCACAAGGTGTTGATTGGTGAATTAGTCTAGTGTCTTGGGTGTCTGAAAGTTGGGATGGAGGGAAATCTAGTGGTAATGTTGTCTGTCCCACATTTTTCTAGCTTACCAAGAAGTAGGTTTGTGGTCTACTTGTCAAATGCCTTGCTGAAATACTATATACTACCGTGTTTCTCCAACAATACGGCCTCCCCCAATAGGAAGTCCCAGCATGCTTTATAGGCATAAAATCAAATTAAGACCCTCCCCCCAAATTAAGGCCTATATTAAACATGTGAAATGGGGGGGAATGGCGGGGGGGCTGGCCGTTATGCATACCCGGATATGGTGCTGCCTGCGTTGACCTCGGCGTTGGTGGGGCACTTCGTGTCGGGAGACCTTCCACCACCGTTGCTTTCCGCGGCGTTTGGCGCAGCCATGCGTGGCCAGCCAGGGCTCCTCCCTGCAACTGGAGTCTGGCGGAGACACTCAGCTTCAGGCGCTCCTGTCGCCACCTTCCCTTTGCCTTCGAAGGTAAAGCCAATTATTTTAAAAACGACGCCCTACTACAACAAAGACTCCCCTGCCCGAGAGGGCAGCCCAACCCCACGTGGGAGGCGAATCTCCCAGGGCCGCAGCGCAGGATCGGCCCACCCCGGGAGAAGTGCCCAGCTGCCATCCCTGCCTGGCACCAGGCAGAGCGTGAAGAGCTTCGCCTGGGGTGCCCAGCACAGCTGACAGGCGGGCCCTCCTGCTCGGCGGCAGAGCTCTCGCCAAGGCAGCGAGCACCTCCCCGCCGGACCCTCCGCTCATCCCGCCAGGGCCACGCCAGAGCTGTGCAGGCTGGGCAGAGCTGGGAAAGTGAGCCACGGGTGTGTGCCTGCCTGCCAACCGAAAGAGCCAGGCCAACCTGAGCTTGGCTTCCTTCCTAAGTCCCTCCAGCCCGAACCCGAAGGGGCCACCGGGAGAGGCTGCCCGAGGAAATGATAGCGCCCACCTGTCCGCGGACAGGGAGGCGAGGTGACGGCAGCACTGCTTCCTTGGCCGGCGGGTCCGGTGGAGAGAGCCCGAAGCCGCCCGTCCTTTCCACCCCTCGTCCAGCCCGTCCCCGTCCCCATGCATCTCCAAATGCACCGGCAGCTCCAAACGCTGCAGCGGCATGGGCATCGGATAGAGGCGCTCACTCGTCGAGGCTCAGCTCGGAGGAGGACGCGGCGCAGGCCGGCACCTTGCCTCCCTGTCCACGGATGGGTGGGCACTATCACTGCCTTGGGCAGCCTCTCCCAGTGGCCCCTTCGGGTTCAGGCTGGAGGGACTTGGGAAGGAAGCCAAGCTCAGGTCAGCCCGGCTCTTTCGGTTGGCAGGTGGGCACGCACTCGCGGCTCGTTTTCCTGGCTCTGCCCAGCCCACATGGCTCCGGCGTGGCCCTGGCGGGATGAGCGGAGGGTCCGGTGGGGAGGCGCTCACTGCCTTGGCAAGAGCTCTGCCGCCGGGCAGGAGGGCCCGCCTGTCAGCTGCGCTGGGCGCCCCAGGCGAAGCTCTTCACACTCTGCCCAACGCCAGGCAGGGATGGCAGCTGGGCGCTTCTCCTGGGGTGGGCCGATCCTGAGCTGCGGCCCTGGGAGATTCGCCTCCCCACGTGGGGTTGGGCTGCCCTCTCAGGCAGGGAAGTCTTTGTCATACCGGTAGTAGGGCATCGTTTTTAAAAGAATTGGCTTTGCCTTCGAAGGTGAAGGGAAGGCAGCGACAGGAATGCCTGAAGCCGAGTGTCTCCACCGGGCTCCGGTTGCAGGGAGGAGCCCTGGCTAGCCGTGCATGGCTGCACCAAACGCCACGGCGTTGCTCTAAACGCCGTGGCAGCACGGGGAGAAGGGAAAGCAACGGTGGCGGAAGGTTTCCCGATATGAAGTGCCCCACCAACGCTGAGGTCAACATCCAATCCGTCGCCGCCCGCCTGCCCGAGGATGCAAGGGGGGGAATTAAGTCACCCCCGAAAAGATGGCCTAGCCGTTTTTTGGGGGGTCAAAAAAAAAATAAGGCCCGGCCTTATTTTGTGAGAAACACGGTATGTCCACAGCAGGGGTGGGATTCTACCAGTTCTGTCTGGTTCTATAGAACCCCTTGTTAACTTTCTAACAGTTCAGAGAACCGGTAGTTAGAAGCAATCTCCTTTTGTTTTTTTTCCACCCTTATTATATTCTTGCCAGAACACCTAGACTTCCTGTCTCCAGAGCTTCTGGGTCTTGACTTTCTTAAAAGGGAAGGGTTGTTTTAAGATTTTTACACTGCTGTTGGGAGGAAATAGTTCCCTGGACAATCAGCACTTTGAAGAAATAATTGAATAATGAAGCAAAGCTTTTAGTGACAGGGAACCAAGATGAGTGACATTCAGCAAGGCTTCTTGGCTAGCTAGAAAGATTGACATTCAAACATGAGTTTACATACCCTTTCTGACAATGGTGCGCTTCAAAAAATTTTACTACCAGTTCTGTGGACATGGCTTGGTGGACATGGCAGGGGAAGGATACTGTAAAATCTCCATTCCCTCCCGACCTCACTAACCTGCTTTCCAGCTCTGTTCTCCTGTGCAGGGCAACAAAAGAAGACCCAGCTGATCAGCTGGGACTCGGGAGACAGATAATAGATGGGGGCAGGGCCAGTCAGAGGTGGTCTTTGCTGGTTCTCCGAACTACTCAAAATTTCCGCTACCGGTTCTCCAGAACTGGTCAGAACCTGCTGAATACCACTTCTGCTTTCTGGGTTTTGGTCTAAAACTGGTTTTTGGTGAAGGTTAATTCTGTGCTTGGTGACCTTTAATCCTGTGTGTATTGATGGGATAATTTTCCCTATTCAGCTTCAACAAGCAACAGCTACTGTTGTGATTTAATTATTTGTATTGTGTTTGAATTTTTTCCTGCCTCATGGTTTCTTTTTCTATCTGGGGAGGGGGTCTTCCTCACTGCTTTAGGACTATCTGGCACTGTCCTTTTGGGGTGTACTTCCAAGAGGCAGGATGCAAGCTTGGCACTGTTTTCTTTTTACTGCCTTTCTGGGGGGCATGTGACCTTTCCTTAAATCTGGATGGTTTCCTTAGGATATTTTGTGAGGGGAGTGAGACCAGTGGTGCAAAGGGATCTAAGGATTGCTTTTCCTGGCTGTGCTTTTCCTGGAGAGCTTAAATGACCTTTCTGCTAAAGGGTTTCACTTTATGAGCAAGAATTGGCTGCTTGATAGTTATCACTGCATCTTAACTATTTTCATTCCTTAAGGTGCTCTGGCATCCTGCCTGATTTGTAACTCTGGCTTGCAGATATTTTTAATCTAATGGTTGGTATTAATTAATGATTTGCAAGCAAAGAAGCTCTTTGTTTTTTTGTACAGGTAATCCTTGACTTACAACAGTTCATTTAGTGACCATTCAAAGTTACAATGGCACTGAAAAAAATGACTTATGACAATTTTTCACACTTATGACCGTTGCAGCATCTTCCACCGTCATGAGAGGCCAGGCGAGGAGAAGCACCCCTTGACATGAGTGATGTCAAGTTGGCCATGCCCACCCAGTCACAAGACCACCAAGCCACACCCACCAACTAAGCCACACACACTGAACAGGTTGTTAAAAAAACTGAATCCCACCCCTGGTCCACAGCATTTTGCTGGTCTACAAATTTAGTCACTGTCAAAGAATGAAATAAGATTGGTTTGGCATGATCTGTTTTTAACAAATCCATGCTGACTGCTAGTTATTGCTTTATCTGTTTCTAGATATTCGCAGATCTGTGTCAGGACTCCAACATGCACCCCCATTCAAATCATAAGTCTCTAGCTACATCTCTCAGAGTAAAAAAGATTGATTTATTAGGAGTTGACATGTCGGCGTTTCCTGGTTGCAGCCGACTCTGACATATCATTCATTTCATCCTTGACCCTGGTCTTCCCCCCACCCCCTGGATGTATATTCCCCATCCATAGCCAAGAGTCATCAATCATGCTCTCCAGTAATAATTTTGTGCACCAGAAGCTTTGGTTGCCAAAGTGATTATCTGAAGCATTTAAGGAATGCACTGCTTTCCCCACTCCCTTTCTGCTGGCAACTAAAGAGACTAAAGAAGTATTTTTTAGTTGACAATCTGTATTATCTTTTCCAGTATCTTCCTAGGTATTGATGTTAGACATTGATGTCTGTAGTTTCCTGGGTCTATTCCCACCATCTCACCCACCCTTTCTTTTTTGAAGATGGGAACCACATCAGCTCTTTTGTAATTCCTCGGTGTTCTAGGATTTTTGAAAGATATGGTAGAATGATTCTGAGACGGTGGTATTGAGCCGGTTTGCACAGCATCGGGTGAACCGGTAGCAAGGATTTGGCATGGGTCACTGAACCAGTAGTAAGTTCTGGCTGGCCACGCCCCCAACCTGGTTGCCCAGATGCCGCTGGCTTGCTTGGCCTACCTGCCCAATGCTCACTTACCCCGCCCGCCTGACGCTTGCCCCTTAAGGTATTTCTTTCTTTTTCCTCCTGACAATCAGCTGTTCATATGATCAGCTGTGCTGGGATTCCCCTTGCTGAGGCCAGAAAGGCAAAAAATGGAGGGAGGGGCTGAACCCACCCTCTATTTTTTGCCTTCCTGAGCTCCAGAGAAGCCTTCTGGGAGCAAAAACGCCCCCCCAGAGGCTCCTCTGAGGCCCAGAAGGCCCCAAAAAGCAAAAAAACCCACAAAGCCATGCCCACCCAGTCACATGGCCATGCCCACTTAACCACGCCCACCAAGCCATGCCCACAGAACCGGTAGTAAAGTTTTTTGAATCCCACCACTGTTCAACATCTGCCAGGTCCTTCAGAACTCTGGGATGTAATCCTGGTACTTTATATTCATCAAGATCAAACCATATCTTTAGCCATTGTCTTGCTTATTTTAATTTTTATTTCTGTCCTGTCTTTTATGGTTAGCTTTTTGATAGGTTGGGTTATAGTTTCTTTTTGTTTGAAGACTGGTGTACAGAATGATTTAAGCAGTCCCAAAGGTGCTTTTTCAAGAGGCAACTGCACTTTATTATTTTTCTTTGAAGATGTTTCATTTCTCATCCAAGAAGCTTCTTCAGCTCTGACTGGATGGTGGAGAATGGAAGAATCTATATTCCTTGCAGACAGCTAGACATTTGCATTCTTCTAGACAATCATTGAGACTACTTTGGGGGGTTTATCTGTCGCCAGGGTCACCTGAGTAGTGCAAATGGGTGTGGAACTATTAAAAGGACTGTTGTAGACTAGAGATAGATGATGCCAAATCTCCCCCCCCTCTATTGAGAGGGCTGTTCAATGTTGACATAGATGGCCTCTTTAACCCCTCTTTCAAACCAACAGTCCTCTCTGTCCAAAATGTGGACTTTGCTGTCTTTAAAAGAGTGGCCTTTATGCAGGTGGACTACTGAATCTTGTCCTGATGGGTTTGTTTTCTTTTGTCAGAGGTGTCAAACTAAGTTTCATTGAGGGGCACATCAGCATTATGGTTGCCCTCAAAGGGCCAGTCTCATGTAATGAGAACTCACAGTGGCCAGGTAGGTGTGGCTGAGTAGGCATAGCCATGACCGAGTGGGCATGGCTGCAACTGGGCACAGCCTCACCAGCTAACTCTAACTCAACATGGGGACAATTTGGTGCCCCACAAGCTCCACGCCTTCCCAAACTGCTGGTAGCCAGCACATGCACGCACACATACACTGCATTCCAAGTTTGGAACTTTTATCCACAGAGGAAGGAGAGGGTCTTCTCCTCAAGCCCAGGCATGATTGGCAGTTTGCAAGCTCAGATGTGGATAAAAGTCTTCAAGGTTGTTGTGTGTGTGCACATGCGTATGTGTGTGGGCTTCCCAGGCTGGAAGAGAGCGGTGGGGCCTTCCTCCGCAGCAGCCGAACAAAGGAGCTGTTGGGGGAGGGGAGGAAAGAAGGGAGGAAAGAAGAAGGAAAGGAGGAAAAGAAAGAAGGAAAGGAAGGAAAGAAGGATGAAAAGAAGGAAGTAAAGAAAAGGAGGGAAGAGGGAGGGAGGGAAAGAAGGAAGGAGTCCAGCCAGCCACTTGGAGAGGCCATTTTATAATCGAATATAAACATGGAAAGTGCTTAAGAACACCCAAAAGCACTCAGTAAAAAGAGAGACTGGAGCTGCTTGGGGACAGGGAGGAGGAAAATAAATCTGTAGCCCAACAGACCACATCTGGAGGGGAACGGTCTGGGACAGGCTGACAGATGGAGGCAGCTGGTGAATGAAGATTGGAACATGGTCTGGAAAATGCACCCATGCCCTGCCTATGCTGCCCATTGATGTATCTGCTACAATCATGGTGCAGCGGTTGAATGCCTGTAGCAGGACCACCTAGGGAGATGAGCAATTGGTGGAGGGAGAGAGGAAGAGGTTAAGGGGAGGCAGTGGTGCTCTTTCGGCCTCCCCTCTGGTTCTCACTCCGTGCTTCCTCTGGCTACCATTCATAGCTCGTCCCAGCTGCCACCATCCCCAAGATGGAGGTGGTGGCGGCACACAGCTATGACAAGGAAAGGGCAAAAATCATGGTGCCCTCCATTTCTCCAACTCCCCTTTTTAGGGGCCCAGTGGCAGCGACCGTGTCAGTGCCACTCACCCTGTAGGAACTGGGCTCAGATGTCTTGGCCAGTCACTCTTCCTCCTCTTCCACTTTTCACACCGCTACCAGCGGCCTTGGCCCACCTGAGGGAGACAGTAAAGAAGCAGTTAGGCAGGCAGACCGGCTAGCAGTGGTCAAGGGCGAAGGCTGCTGTCAGTTCATCTTCCCGCCTCATGGAGGCGACAGCAGGAGAGGCACCAGGGCAGCTGTCAGGGGAAAGAAAGTGGGGTTGATCTCTTATTTGGGGGAGGAGGTTGTTGAGATTGTTGAATTTAAATTTAAAAGAAATTTAAAAGTTGAAAAAAGGTTTAAAATTGAAAAAAAAATAAAAATTGAAAAAATAAACGGAAAATTGAAAAGAGAATTTTAAAAATTTGAAACAATTAGTTTTAAAAAAGAAAAATTTAGAAATTTTAAAAATTTAAGGATTTATACGTTTTTTTGGCCCTTTATGAAGTGTTATGCATTTTTGTTCTTCTTGTTGTTAGAAATGCCAGGTTTTTTTCTAGGAAGTGCTTCTCTCTTAACTCAGGGTCCAGTGTGCTGTTCTCAGCCACTGGTCTGCTGCCACATACTGTAGTTCTGTTTCACCACTGCTCAGTGACCTCCGTTTGCAATTCACCACTTCCGGTCCACTGCCGGGCAGGGTTGCTGGGCCACCTCTCTGTCTCTCAGCTCAGCTGCCGGGCTATATCTCTCCATCTCTCAGCTAGAACACTGGGCCGCCTCCCAGCTGGGTCCCTTCTCAGTTGGGCCATCTCAAGCTGGGTTTTCAAAAGCAGTTTGCCTTTGCCTCCTCTCTGGGGCTGAGGAAGAGGGACTGACCCAAGCTCCCCCAGCTGGCATCATGTTGCAGGCAGGACTAGAAGTCACAGTCTCCCAGTTTTTATCCTGTTGCTTTAACCACTATACCAGATTGGCTGGTCTTCTGCCTGTCTTTTTTCCCTTATTTTAAAAAGAGTTGTGCCTTGGTTATATATGCATGGTTATGCTGTGCAACATTTTGAGCCCTTTTCAAGGAAGATGAAGGGCATCTCAGCTAACTCTCCTATGCTGTTCTTCCTTTTCCACAGATGTATATCACACTGGTTTTTCAGCTGAAGGGCTCCCGCTTGGCCAAGCCATCCCTGTGCCTGGCACTCCTCGGCCCAGCATTCTTGGTGGGTGTGGTGCGTGTAGCCGAGTACCGGAACCATTGGTCTGATGTACTGGCTGGGTTCCTCACCGGCGGGGCCATTGCCATCTTTCTGGTAAGTGTTCTGTGTTTGAGGCTCTTCAAGGGAGGGAAAAGGGCTTCCATCTCAGCGTTCAGACACCATCAGAACTATTCTGGGAAGGAGAAGCCGTTCCAGTCACCATTGCACATATAGTGGCAGTGCTGTTGGAGCTTCTTTACCATGTTTTGCAGGGTAGAGCTCCCTTTTTAAATATGGTGTGTCATCAGGCAGTTACTAAAACTATTCCCTTATCAGCACCCAAGGGTTAAAACTTAAAGGCCAGGCCAATGATGCTATTCTAAGGGAAGATAAGAATTTTTTTTTTTTTGGGGGGGGGGGGGGGGGGGTAAAGTTTACCTTAAAAAATAACCTTTATCTTATTATTTTTATCTTATCTTTTTTTTTCTGTGGGACTCTGGCACACATTAAAAATGAAATTCTGTTGCCTGCTCTCAAAAGTGTACACATACATAACACATATAGCTATTCTACATATATCCATATGTATATACCTACACCCTAATATACAAAAACATATAAATATTAATCACTGTCCATTTTGAATACATAATATGTTATCGTATTAGTTTGTGATGTGTTGATGACGGTGTTATAGTTTTCCCAAATGCAGATATGAATGGGGCAATTTCTCATTTGACCTAGGCTATCTTGAGTAGCATAATACAGTTTGGAGAAGTGGCTATTCTGGGTTGGGGTAACGGAAATGTAAACTAGCTTGGTTCCTACTAAAACACAAGCTAACTTTTTACCCCCTTTTGTATGGCTGAGAGGTTCACCCAGTCACCTCCATCTGCTCAGATGAACATCTTGCCCTCATTCCTTTTACATTTCAATAAAAAGGCAGCTCATGGTTCCTCTGTCATGCCCAGCTATTCACTCCATACTAGTGAATACCAAAGTGAGTCCTGACCGAATGGCTCATGCTCATAACAAGACAAATAAGGCCAATTATGAAGAAAAATTAGGGCTTGATCAAGAAGCAGCTGGCAAAAGGAATAGGAAAAGCCACATAAGAAACTGTGTTAATGGGTTTATCAGTTGCAAAGCTCTGTTGAATGTTCCTTCTGATGCAGAGTACTATATTGGTAGAAATCAGGAAAAGAGCCCTTTAATGCCGCTCTTCTCTTTTTGGATAGGTGACATGTGTGGTCAACAATTTCCAAAGCCCTGTATCCTCAGCCAAGAAAGTTTCTCCACCTGAAAATCTACCCACTGTCCCAGTCTTGGGATTGCCCTGTGTTGACAGTTCCCTTGACAAATTAAGTGTGGCTCAGGTAAGAGATATTCCTGATGCACCCCTGCATGTTTCCTCCTCTTCTTCAGTTTTCTCTTTAATCTAAAACACCTACCCACACATACACATGCACAGCTAGCACCATATTTGAGGATGCACTAGGCAAAATGCCTTTTAGTGGGCTTCTTCTACCTCTTCAATGGGTTTATATGGCAATATTTAGAACAAGAAGAGGACAGTTGGTCCAGCTGCCATTTAAATTTCCTGCTGTTCTCCTGAAAATCCTATTTTCAAACATATGGTGATTTTAAACTGGAGATTTAATCAAGCTATTAAGCCTTGTGCCAGGTAGGGCAATCATGAACAGGAGGCTCAACTGAGATGCCGACATCTGAGGTTGGGGCTGATCCTCTCCCAACCTACCTTCTTCTCTTCGGAAACCAAAATCTTGTTTCCTCACTTAAAAAGATATAAAGATGCAAAGCATTAGCATCAATGGATTTGCTTTCTCTCTGTGCCAGGGCGGATGTTGACAATTTTGCAGGACAGTTTTATAGTAGGGTGGGAGTCAAACTGAACATAGATAGATTATCAGTTTGAAAAGACTTCCTTTAATATAAATGAGAAATGTTTCTAAATCCTGAGCATCACTCACAAATTCTGGGTAACAAAGGAAAGAAAGGTGTCAACTTGAACAGGTGTGCCAAGGCAAATAGGATCTGAGGAGCGAATAGGAAGAACAGAAGACTCACTAAGACACACTAAATTATCACTCTGTTGTATGGGATGAAGGACAAAGCTTCTTAACACTGTTTTTCCAGCCACCAAGGAGAGGATTAATTAAAACCCATCTCTTTGGGAGTTTCTCCATCCCTAGGTAGGAGATTTCTAGTAAACCCCACATACTGTGGCTCAAGTAGTATTTAGTACCACAGTGTTGAATGTAGGGGAATTTTAGTAGCTTCTGCCATCTCTTATAGAGAACTTAATCTTAGATGAAGACACAATAGTAAGAAGAAATCAATGAAGCAAAACTTGCTCAAGTAAAGTGTTGCTGGTAAGCACTAGGGTTCACATTAAGGATTGTAAACTTTTAAACAACTCTGTGAATGAACAAAAATATGATTGCATATTTTTTGGTATTTCCTTTTACAAGGCTCCCACTTAATTATTCAGAGAAACTTTTGATTTCTACCTTATTTTCCTCCCCCTTTTTTTGTATGTGTGCCTTGGAGTCAGCCTTTTGATTCCTCACAACTGCCTTGGCAAGTAATTGCAGTTTTTATGGCAAGTTTTTTCAAAAGTGGTTTGCCATTGTCTCCTTCCTAGATCTGAAAGAGACTGACTGATCCAAGATCACCCAGCTGGCTTTGTGCCTTAGGTGGGACTAGAACTCTCAGTTCCTTGGTTTATAGCCTTAACCATGACACCAGACTGGTTCTCTTGAGCTCCATTCTTAGAATGTTCTTTCTACTCTTATGAAAACATTCTAGTCTGTTTTTCTTTTTCTTTAAAAAAACACCCTTTTGTTGTATAAATAATACAACCATAGATCTAATAGGCTTTATAAATACTCTGCTCAGGCAAAATTCAGTAGGACATCTCTGACTATGACCTTTGTTAGAAGACCTTTTGTGATCATCCTACTCCCAATCTCAAGGCAACATAATTTTTTAAACTGTGGAGTTAGTGCTGAAATTGATGCATAGAGGGAATTGTTATCAGGCAAATAAGGGAATAAGTGCAGGAAGCAAATAGTTTTTGGGCCCAGGTACTTTGTATTTATTCTGTGGAAAACAGTTAGATAGATCCTTCTCTCTCTCTCTCTTTCTCTCTCTCTCTCCCTCCCTCCCTCCTGTCTCAAATGATGAACTAATATACTGATATACATGGAGGCTTTATGAAGCTTTTTAACTTAGAAATTCTTGCTCTTCTATCTCTGAAAGTGTTGTTCTCCCCAACTCCAAATATTCCAATGCTCTAACATTTCTCCCTAAAGAAAACAAGTTTACAACTTATTTCTTTCCTCTTTCCACTTGGGTGTGAATAGTAAATATCTAATGATGTTAATTTCTGTCTCATTCTCTCCCATTTAACCATGTCTTCCCCCTCCACTGCCCTGCCCTGGTGTTGTCCCCTTGGGTGGAGTATGGCTGCAGCAGGTGAGGGACACCCCAGAAGAACCGGAGTTTTCTACACTACTCTCAAGAGGTCTGGAAAGGCAGCTAGCACGATCTCTACACTTGGCAGCACCTGGCAGTGCAGCAATGACCCGTCCTTATGAGTAAGTGCCTGTTCCCAGAATTGTCTATCGTGACCCCTTGCAAGGTATCCTTGCTTACTCTCGGCAGCCTAAGTTGGTACAGAGAGTCGGCATAGGCATCATGGGAATAGAAGGAGAAGGAAAGGATACTTCAGATTAACATATGGCTGGATATCGGAGGCAGGCAAAAAGTCACGGTGCAAAAGAATTGGATCAGATATCCTGATGTTCACGCAGAAACTTCAGGGGGTCCATTTAGACATAGGAAGGGAAATGGAGGGTGGAATAGAATATTCAAAATCAGAAATGTTTCACTTGGAAAAAGCACGACATTTTTGAATTTACACTAGTCATACTACAGATAAATAGCATTACCCAGTATTAATGTAGTGCAGGGGTGTCAAACAGAGCCTGGGGAGGCGCATGAGCTCTGTTTTTGTTGGCACAGAGTTGTAGGAGGCTGTTGCAGCTGAAAACGGAGCTCGGGAGCCCATTTTCTTTGGCAGGGTGCTCTGACACGAGTGACATCGAGCTAGCCACGCCCACCCTGGCCATGCCCATACCACGCTCACACCCCCCGAGGTCAAGCATAACCCTGATGTGGCCCTCAATGAAATTGAGTTTGACACCCCTGATGTAGTGATATGCTCTCTGACATGGTTTTTCACCACAGTGCAACTGGATGGTGTTATATATTGCTGGTGTCCTTCAGATATTTAGGGCAACTATGACTGCTGTGTGCTTAGAGCCTTTTGAGAAAAAGAGGAAGTTCTTTGGAAGGATATGGAAAGTCCAATTTAGGACTAAACAACCTTTTTAGTGAAACATCAGAGAGCTATTGACGAGACATGCCTAAACTGTGTGCACAATTATTAGACAAGATTTTTATGCATATTTTCCACCTCCAAACTGTATAAACTTGGATGCTTAGTGGATATACGCATATTAGGTGATGTGTTTTTTGTGTAATGTGGGAAGGTGTGGCCTAAGGACGCCAACACCTTATATCAAGGTGTGCATAATTTTTAGGCAGCTTCTTTTCCTCAGGCAGAAAGGGGGCCAAGAGAGACATTTAACTGACAGAAGTCAAACATTGTAAAAGGTCTTTCAGAGGGAAAGCACTCTTGAAATTGCTACGTTATTGGGGTGTGATCACAGAACCATCAAACCTTTTGTTGCAAATACAGTATAATCATTTCCTTTTCTTGAGGTGCATTTTAAATAGTTTTGACCTGAGTTTATGCATAAGAAAGAGCTAGTTACAATGAAGAATGGAAATGGGATGAATTAAAATTGTCCCCTGAAGTAGTATAAAAGTTTTCTGTGCAATTTTATTGCCCATTTAAGTTGCCCCAGCCTCTTTGATACAGTAAGAAAATAGTGTGCCTTGTTACAAGCAATGATTCCTGGTCTTCCTGATACTGTAGTTGAGCCAGATTATAACTTGACATATCCCAAAAGTTTTTAGTTTCCAGGTTATGCCTACTACTACAGTATTTCATTTAATGCATATTACAGCATTAAGAGAATTGGTTCCAGAAATGCAAATCCATCAGAGACCTGCTTGTTTGAATATTGTCCTCTGCTCTTAGTTTTACTCTACTCTTCTGCGGTTATTTAATTCATTTTAGAGTTTATCATTTTGTTTTACTGTTTTACCCCTGGTATGAACTGTCAGAGAGCTTTGCCAATTGTGCAGAACAGAAATGAAGTTTGTAGCTATAAATAAAATGTTAAGATGTTGATGAAGGAGGCACTCTTCCCTGAGAAAACACTGGGTGTGATGAACCACATACAGCAAGAAATCTGGTAACATTTCATACATGCTGTGATTCTATGCAGTCCACTTGGCACCACTTTCCTCTCACTCCCTAGATTAAAAATGTCCTCTTGCTCTGGCCACCTCATCCTTTCCCCTTAACCCCTTAAGGCAGAAGTGACACCATAAAAGCAGAAGTGCCTGCCATTCTTTGGAATTTGGTTTAAGCACTGAAAACTTACACAGAAGAAAAAGCAGTGCAGGCGATCAACATCTCTTCCTCTCCATCCACCCATCTGCCCATCTACTCCACTACCAGAAGGTCCCTCTCTCTGCTCAACCACCAATCTGAAACAAGTCCATTTTATGGCCCACAAATGGCAGATTGGACCCTTGTAAACAGGCACACATTTCAGAGGAATCCACTGTTTTCAATGTATTTGTGTGAGTCGTTCTGTGCAAAATATCCTAGCTATTGCTACTAGGTATGGAGATTCTGAGATGATAATGACTTGTGCCTTCTGGGAAAATTTGCACTGACAGCTTAATTTCCACATTTAGGTTGCAGTCCTGTGCACATTTTCAGGGGCATAAGTCCCACTGAACAAAATGGAACTTGCTTCTGAATAAACACACATAGGATTTGGATGTAAGTCTTTGCTTTCTGTGTTGCTGTGCTGTTCTGCTCACTGGTTTTGTTTACACCAGGATACACTTTTCCATTGTTCAAGTCTTTTTTAAAGTGAGATATATGGTTAAGTGGTATAAGAAGAGACAAGGAAATCCTCTCTTGAACCCGATAATTCAAACCCATCAGCAAAAAGCCTTGCCCGTGCAATGAAAAGTTAAATACCTTGGTTTGCAGTCATGACTACTAGAGATCTGCTCTTTAAAACACACACATGGAACCATAAACATAAAAAGAGATTAAAGACAGTTGATATTTGATTTTGCCTAAGAAGTTAAAGATGGAAAGAGGTGACAGTTGGCTTTCCCCTGTTTTCTGGGACTCAGCTGAAGGCTTTGCTGAAGAATTCTAAAGCTTGAATTTAATTTTGATCTGCAGAGTTTGTTCCTGTTTTTTAAGTCCATTCTGACTGACTTACTCACTCCCTTCTCCCCTCCCTTCCTCTGTTCCAGAATCACGGAGCTGTGTTCACAGAGGCCACTTGATTCTCAACTTTGTCTCTTCCCCTCCACCCCAGATGTCCTCATTCCCTCGCGGTTGGTCACAAGTGAAGTCTGACCTAAGAAAGCATTCTTGATATGGAGCTAGATCTTGGGGGGTGGGCTCTAACCTCATACTCTCCATTTCCCAACCTATTTCTTGGACTTTCCTGGAATCAGGTTTGTTAGTTGTCATAACATAGTTCTGGTTCTATGATGTGAGTGTGCAGCATAGATTGGGGAGGGAAAATAAGGGTGAAAATAAAACCCCATTACTTTTTCAGTTGGTCTGATGCCATTCACCATGTTGCCAACTGAACATCATTGCTAGGAATGAGCTCTTGGGATTTTGATCACAGCTTGCTTTGCCAAGGTTCTTTTAGGAATCCTTGTCATTTGATAAGGCATTATTTCCTTTACCGTTGATTCCTCAAGAAAAAAGTTAGGTGCCATTTCCAAAAAAATAGCTCTATCTTGGGAATACACTGAAGAAGGCACATTTGACCAAGAGAGGTGGTTTTGATTGCAGGAGTTTTAGTAAAAGAAGTTTACAATTAAATTTGCAAATTAAAGATTTGAATAGTCAGAAAAATTATTAATTAATCATTATGGTAGCTAATATTGTATTTGAAGACCAGAATTCAAGCAAATAAGACATAACTCAGAATCTTAGGGCTGTCCTCTATAGGCAGTTTTGACACCTTCTTGATTGAACTATAACCAATAAACCTTGTTATAAAAGTAAATAAGAATCTGGTCTCAGATATGGCCTTTGATGAAGAACTTTCAGGTAACATTGGAATGATTTTGGTCCAAGGCTTTGAGGAGATATATGTCATTAGAAAGACTGGATTATGGTCTATGCTCAGCTTCATACGATCACTTCATAGGAAAGGTTGGCTGAAGAAAAGTAAACTACATGTGATCCACAGCACTTTCTTCTGAGCTTAGTCATCAGAAACAAGCAATAACACTCCAGTTCAAATAGATTCTTTTTAGAGTCAATTGTTGCTGCTTTCCAAGGTGTTATCCTAGAGTCTTTCTGGAGCTCAATGTGAAAACATTTTAAACATACAGTTTCATCAGCTCTGAGCCTTGATCATTTGTCCCCAGTTGAATCTGGATCATTTGTCCCCTAGTTGAATCTGGAGCCATTTGCATGCTGGGAGGGGGAGCGGGGAAGCTTTCAACAGAGCTGAGTGTTATGTTTTCAATATGTTTTCATTACAAGAGAAATAGATGTCAATCTTATTCCATTGTAGTTACTTCCAATGAATAAAGATTTTCAAAACTACATTTCCAAACAATGCCATATAGGAAAGCATGACTTGTTGCTAACCTTGTTCTAGTTTAAATGCACAATGTGGGTTCCTCACAATGGCGGCTTCACTTTCTTGACTCACCTACCACGCTCAATAACAGTTGTTGCAGCTGCTTGGCAGATGATCATTATTCCACACTGTTCTGCACAACAGGATGATAATATCTCCCATGTCCTCCAAAGAACAACTAGAGGTCCCTTATATTTCCATTCCTCCATCAGTGAAACCCAACTGTATTGAGCATTATTCCCATTTTAAAGATGGGAATTGTAGTCCAACACATCTGAAGGTTTCCAGATTAGGAAAGGCTGTCTTTTTCTCACTTTCCCTGCTCTTCTTCCTGGTGCTAATAATAATTATTGTCTCTGCTACACAGCTGCTGGTCAGCTGCATGGCACCTTCTGAGTGTAGCACAGGGATGGGTGGGCAGTTGCTTGGAAAACTTGGCAGAGTACACTGCCCACTGTGCTCAGTGAAGAATTTCCCACATCCTTCCAAAATCTATTTTAATAAAGTTCTGTTTGAACAATCTGTCTTGCTTCACAGTGTCCTTCATTTCAGGAAGAATTCTAGTAAATGGCACAAACAAAACAAAGAAATGTTAATGTGAAATCAGATAAAAGCATCTAATCCCAAATGAGACCATGTTGTTTTCAGGCTAAGTGATATAATAAATGGAATCTGCTAAGCATGTTATTTTTTTACGCACAGCTGTGGAATTGGTTCCAAATCTAGACCTAGAAAACCTAGAACTACACCGCCTTCAGTCCGATCTAAGTATAGGATATAAAACAATACATTGCAATGTCCTACCTGTCAATGAATACTTCAGCTTCAACCATAACAATACAAACCGCACCAACCTTGATTGCAGGAAATACGACCTCAGCAACAGAGTGGTCAATGTCTGGAATACTCTACCTGACTCTGTGGTTTCTTCTCCAACCCCAAAAACTTTAACCTTAGACTGTCTACTATTGACCTCACCCCTTTCCTAAGAGGTCTGTAGGGGGCATGCATAAGAGCACCAACGTGCCTACCATCCCTGTCCTATTGTTTCTTTTTTTAAATTTCTTTTATTTTTCTTATATGTATCCATTTCATGTATCCATAACTATGTTTATACTTATACCTGTTATCTTATAATTGCTTGACAAAATAAAATAAATAAATAAATCCTTGTATAGCTATGTGTTTCCTAGATAGTCACAGGCAAGTTTCTTTCTTGGTGGCTCTGTTCTCAAGGTGACCTGAAACACCATTGCTATCTTCAGGGCTAGCAACAGGTTTAAGAGATATCTAATTGAAGTGTCCATAAGAACATCAGCAGTGTCCTGAATTTGAAGCCCCGTCTCATCTAGTCCAGTAGTCTGTTCTCACAGTGGCCAACCACTGCACAGGAAGCCCACTAATCTCCCAGCTGATGGCTTTCAGAGAAAGTCGCTGCCATCAAGGTTAATAGCCACAAATCCTCATGGCTTGCATGAATTGAGCCAATCCTATTTTGAAGCCAGCGAAAGCAGTAGCCATCACCACCTCTTGTAGTCCCCCAAGATAGACCTCTCCTGCAAATAAACAAAATGTCTACTTTGTCCCCACATCAGCACAACAGCACCATTACAGACCCCACTGAGTACACATACAAGATTATGCCTATATAGGTAGTTCTCCATCAATGATGGCAATTGGAACTGGAATTGCTATAGCTAAGCAATATGATGATAAAATGTGACATTACTGACTGCACCATTTAGCAACACCAATTCTGGCATTCCTGCTTGCCATAGTTAATCAAATCATTATGGGTCCTTAAGCAAGGATATCATGCAGTTGCCATTTGCAACCTCCTACCAGCTACCATTGACTTTGCTTACCTGCTAAGACCCTCACTAGCCATGGCTGTGTCCAATCTCTTAGCAAGGACATAGCTGTATCATCTTGTCCAGGATTGGAAACTAAGCAGGGTTGGCCTCAGCACATACTTGGATGAAAGACACAGTTTGGATTAGGGAGGCAAATAACTCCTGGAAGAAGGAGGCAATAGCAGACCATTTCCATGCTATTATCAGGGAAACAGACTTAAGATGTCCATATTTATTTATTTATTTAAATTTTATTGGTTTTTAAGACAAAACATAAAAACATCAAGCCATCTTCCATATATATACATACAGTGTGTCGGTTGGTTTACAAATTGTTTTGTGCTTCCACTTTGTAGTCTTCAATTACAATTACATTGTATATATTCTCATATTTTCAATCAAATATTAAATACATTAATATCATTGTTAATCATTTGACTATGCTTTTATTCATTCGTATTTTATGAAATAATCCACATTTTACTTAATTTGTTTTATGACAGTTCATATTATCATCTCAAATCTATCCTACAATCATTTTGTAGATATAATAAGAAAAGAATACATCTTTATATATTGATTATTTTCTAAGAATCTACATATTTCATTACCTTGTTTTATTGTCTAACCATTGATAGAATAGATCCCAAATTTTATAAAATTGTTTATCTTGTTCTCTGATTTGAAACGTCAATCTACTCATTTCAGCACATTCCAATATTTTCTTAATGATTTCCTCCTGTAATGGTATTTTCTCATTTTTCCAGTTTTTGGCAAATACAATCCTAGCCGCTGTTATTACATTTACAATCAGGTATTTCAATTCTTTACTATATATTTCAGGTAAAATTCCCAATAAAAAGATGTCCATATTTGTTTGTTTGTTTGTTTAATAAATGTATACAGCCACCCAACTCATACATGACTATGGGCTGCTAACAATTAAAATAATAACAAACTGAAACTCAGAAAATGAAACATAAAACAGCATAAAATAGCAACTGAGAGTAATCAGAAACACCATATAATCAATATAACCAGACAACAAGCCCACCTATACTATCAAGGCTCCAAGCTTGACAGCAAAGCCTAGTTTTTCATGCCTTATGAAAGACCAGCAAGGTTAGCACAAGTCTCATCTTGGGTGTGGGGGCAATGAAATTCCAAAGTGCAGGTACCATAGCAGCAATATGCAGGTAGTCTGCTGAACTATGGCTAGTGTAGGCATGTCACCGGTGTGGGTATGTTCAGACCTGAGAAATGGCAATAATGATTGATTGTGCTTTTCATGTCCTTTTTAGCAAGGCAGTTTCCTGGTCCAGATAAATTACATATGCATATACGCATATACGCATGCATATGCATGTATGCATATACATACATACAACTATGAAGAGTTTTATAATAGTCACATTCCTTGTTTATTATAAGTAATTTTATGCCGCTTTAATCAAATGAAGCTCAATTGTTTATAAAAGCTGTATAACAACAGCACTTCAAACATCAAAAATACATACATATAATAAATTTAGGAATAATAAATAAAATAAACAGCACCCACACCAGGGGTGGGATTCAACCGGTGTTACTACTGGCTTGGTGACTACCTTTTGCACGCGACATTTATGTTTTCCCACTTATATAGATAATTTGCATCCTTTTCTCTCAGAATTCAGGGAAGGGTATGGAACAGAAACAACACGGAACAATCCTCTCAAGAGGGTAGAAGGTTGCACCCAGAAGGCAGCTGTGTATCAGCCAGTTGGAGCCCCGTCCAGCCACTCCATGATGCCTCACAGCTGACGCCTTTGCCTCCTCTCCCAGCTGATCGTCAGGCATCTCAGTTGCCTCGCACTGCCCTGCCTCCCTGCTACAGCTCCGCTGGCGGTTCTTCGGCACGCCACCGCAGCCACCAGCTTCACAAATCCCCCAACACCAGGAGCTTCCCTCCCCACCCCAGTGAGGCAAACCCCAAGGGGGAAACCAGGGTTTGACAGACCTGTGGTGTGGGTGGGTGAATGTGTGTCCATTCTTGCCTCGACTTCTTGGCAGCTTTCATACTATCAGCCATGTATCCTTTTGGATCAATTCAGAGGACCAGAGATGGATGTTGTGGTGTTCTGCTGGTTCACCTCTGAGACTGATTCCAGCCCATGGTAGTTGGATAGGAGAGATACCCTCTTCCACAACCCCTACTATGTGAGGTGCTGCAGGAGTTTGGTGCTTTCTCCTATTTAGCATCTACATGAGGCACCAGGTTTGCTCATTGGTTGCCCCCAGTTATACATCTCTGCCCCTAATGGATTAGGTGATAACTTAACCTGATCCTGGAGGCTATGAGGATCTCATAGGGGAACAACAACAACACTCCAACATACTGAGAGACTTGGATTTTCAGGGCTGCTGGTTTAAATCTATGCCATGTTTGCTGCTGAAGGGAGTAGCGTGGCCCTAGACAGACACAGTGTGCAATCTCGGAATCCTCCTGGACTCACAACTCCTACTCCAAGATCAGATTGCAATCATGGCTAGCAGGTTCTTTGCACAGCTTTGATCCTGGATTGGGGGGGAGGGGAGGGGTCTTCCCACTGTTATACATGCCCTAGTTACCTCCCATTTGGACTTCTATAATGCACTCTACATGGGACTGCCATTGAAGCATATCTAGAAGTTTCAACCAGTGCAGAATGCAGTGGCACAGGTAGTTGTGTATACTCCTAGAAAACCACAATTATGGTTTGTAAACTGCCTTGGTTACTAGGCTGCTTCTGAGTCCAATTCAAAGTGAAGGTTTTGACTTTTAAAGCCCTTCATGGCATAGGACTAGGTTTCCGAGGGTCCACCTCTCCCAGATTTCATCTGCCCATCCCACCAGATCCAGCATAGTGAGCAAATTATGGAGTCTATCAGCTAGGGTGCTACATTTG